TTGAAAGCCAGAAAATTAAAAGACGTAAAAAAGACAAACACCATCCACTTTCCAATCACTTCCCCTTCACTTTGACTTGCTCAACTAGGGAAAATGGGCAAGTAGAAACACACTCCAATTCTAAAGTACATACGACTTATTCTCTAGCATCCAATTCTGAATAAACATCAAGAGTATATCTAAGCTATTAAACAGCCTTACCTTCATTCTGCGCTCTCTCAGAGCTAGCAAGCCAGCTTCTGTACAGATTGCCTTGATATCAGCTCCAGAGAACTCATCTTTAGTCATTACAAATTCTTCCAAGTTGACATCATCAGCCAGTGTCATTCTGGATGTATGTATCTACATAAAGGAAAATACAGGTTCTAAGAACAGAATTTGTATGCAATACCCAGGAAAAATAAAATAAAATAAAAGCATACTTCTATCATTCTATGTGAGACAAAACTAGAAGCATACTTCTATATGATCGACACTAAGTTTACCCCACAATAAGATCATACCTGAAAAATGCGTCGTCTCGTTTTAATATCTGGAAGGGGAAATTCAATTTTCCTATCAATTCTTCCAGGTCGAAGCAAGGCCGGATCAAGACTTTCAATTTTGTTCGTCGCAAGAATAACCTTAACATCCCCTCTTGAGTCAAAACCATCTAATTGATTGAGCAATTCCAACATAGTTCTTTGTATTTCACGCTCTCCCCCAGAGTGAGCATCATATCTATAGAAAGGCAGAACATGGAAAAAAAAGAAATAAGGCAAAAAAAAAAAAGATGTCAATTTGTATAAATAGACAGCACAACAGTTGTTGCATAAGCACCAACAACCTTAATTCACCCACCTTTTAGTACCTATGGCATCAATTTCATCAATGAAGACAATTGATGGTGAATGATCGTCCGCAACTCTAAAGAGTTCTCTGACAAGTTTGGGCCCATCGCCCAAGTATTTCTGGATCAATTCACTTCCCACAACACGCAAGAAAGTCGCTGATGTGGAGTTAGCTACAGCCTGAAAGGAGTAAAACAAAGCATTTAACACTTGAGGAGATGCCACTGCATTCTGCTTTAAACAGTATACTGTTGAAGACTTTTGGGTATATACTTCTCCCAATGTGTACAATGCAGAACAATCACTCTGTGGACTCGTAACATAGCTCATTCCTGTAAACGCAAGAATATCACAGTTTTCATAGAAATATTTTGGTACCAGCTTAACTAGAACCACTTCTGGGGGGGGTTGCTAAGAGATAAGTAAATTCCAAAAAAAAAATCGATATATATACCCCTAAAGTCATAGGCATTTTTAAATTTGCCCCACAAAACATACTGATTCTAAATTTGCCCTCAAATTGTTTTCATCCCTCAAATTTACCCTCCACCTTAATTCCAGTTAAAATCTTAAAACTTGTTAGGGTTAACTTCCATATTTATCCCTAGTCTAATTAATTCTCTTCAGAAAATCAGGGAAACAAATGAAATTCATTATAAGTCTCAATCTGTTCCATTAGAAAATCCTCAAACCAACCCATTTACTGAGAGTAAAAAAAAAAATCACATAGCACTCTGCAATCTACATCTCTCGCTTTCACATGGTATCAGATCGAATGCGTCTCTCAGCTATGATTTGAAATGAAAAAAAGAGAGTTCTTGGCTATGATAGACAACCTATCCTGCTGCTAGGAGTGCCTACCCATTAGCTGATTCTTTCTATTATGCTTATATTATATGATAACCTATTTTTTTCATTTAAGTGGGAGAGTAAAATAGTCTCTCATTTTCGGATGGGAAAATGATCCCCTGTCAGCATCTAAAAAGGAACTCTTGGGTGCATCTTTTCCAATGAAATTAGTATTTTGGCTGTTGATTCTTGTGTTAGCTTCCCTTGGAAATCAAACAAATTACCCCGTAATCATCTGGAATAGCAACTAAATAATGTCTTCTGCTCTAGGCCCAACCCTAACAATTCGCAAAAAGTCAGCAAGGTCGTGCTTTCGCTGGCGACATGGCTTCATTGTCAGCAAAGTGGATCCAGGGTGTGTTACCAGAGAGAGTAGAAGACAAGAATTCGAGAGAAAGGGAACACAATCTTCTTTTCTGGAACGAGTTGGACTTTGGGGGAATTTGAGTGAAGAAAACAATCTGAAGGGCAAGTTTAGAAATATTTGGGGGGAAATACCTATGATTTTAGGGGCATATATCGAAAAAGCACATTCTAAAAATATATGTTAGTAATGATTGTTATGATCTACAACATTTACATATCTAAATCCAACATCAAATTCTTCATAAAATCATAGTTTTATCACTCCCCAACCGACCACAAATAGTAATCTAGGATAACAAGATCCATCTTGGATCACCAAAGTCAAGAAGTACACTATCATTATTTATATATCATGAGGTTTCCACAATACATAACTAAATTACAGTACCTAGGCCAAAAAACAGTAAAAGGTTTTTCTACAGTAAGCTGTCTATCTGTCTACTTATGCTCTCTGATGGCATCTAATAATCACCAAAAATTCAATTTCTAGTTGTCATGAACTGCAAATAACCACCAAGATAACAAGCAATGTTGATTCTCAAGCACCATGTACTTTTTGTACATGGGACTTGACATGAAGTTTATCATTAAGTATGAGTTTATTATTGTGTTTTGGAAATTACAATAACCAAAACTTTCAAATCAGAATATGTATTATGAATCATTTTCCATATATATAGTATCGTGTATCTTTATTTATCATAAATTGCAAGATAAAACCCACAGGCAATAACTAAGTAATTATATTTACAGCAATATGTATCACAATAGTCAGAACTAATTTAGAGCACAAAATAATGGACAAGGAGAAAGGATAAGGAGAAACACAAAAAATAATTCAAGTGCAGTAATCAAACATGTCAAACATAACCACAAATAGTTTTATGAATGATAATTTTCTAAAACAAGTTCCTAGAAACAAGAAAATAAGCTAGTCTAACATCAATCAACCCTCCGGATAGACCAGGATGGTATCTTCATGTTCTTTGTCTTCTTTTCGCTCTCCACAAACTTATCTCGATTGTCTTCTTTATTTTCCTTTTGAAGCTTTTATGTCTTATGACTCTTACAAGTAATTGGCACAAGCAAGAAAAAAGGTAAAATGCACATAATCCCCCTCATCAATCCTCCATGACAGACCCATAATAATATCTTCATCTTCTCTTCGCTTTCCACAAAGTTATCTGTGTTATCTTAATTGTCTTATTTATCTTTCCTTTTGAAGTGTTAACAATCTTATGCCTCTTATCAATAATTGCCATAACTTCATAAGCATCCGAGAAATGGTATCTTGCACATAATCCCCCTTATCTATACCTTGAGTTACACTAAATCCACCACAACTCTTTTATTCGCACTTAGCCCCCTCAATTCTTGTTACTTGCAATTTACCTTTCTACAATAGTATTTCAAAGTGAAAAGTGCTAGTAAATAAGTTGAGGGGGTTCTAGTGCAATTCAAGGTATAGATGAGGGGGGTTATTTTACCTAAAACAACTTATTTGACACTTGAAAATTAGGGATTAACAATCACAAGATTTACTAGAGATTAATAGTCATCCCTTTACCATAATTTTTCTTTTTTGGCGGTGCTAATTGGCCCTCTTTCAAGTTCAAAGCTCATGAGTAATTATCTATCTAGAAGTTCATTTTTAGTTGGCAAGGTCATATTTCCCATGCACTCATCATTGGTCATATGTAAACCAGCTTTGTTTACCTTTCATCATTACCATATCTTGTATTAAACAAACATCATGGCACTGACTCTTAAATGTTCTAAAATAATTCTCATCTCAAAGTGTTAACGGAAGGCTTGCACTCATATTCTCCATTTGAAATGTAGGTTTAGTGGTTAGTTGTACCTTCAGCAGTGAGTGGAGAAGAAAGCATGAATATAGGTTAGTATTTTCAAAGACTAAGCAGATATCTTGGGCTTGGAAATTCTCTTGTATTAAAAGACAAAGACAGTTTCAAAACTTGCAACCCATAATTTGACCTAACGCTTTTTCCAAATTCATTTATTTCTAATCAATCTATTAAAAGCTACCATTAACACAAGATATGAGTTGTATTATAAGATTATCACCTGTTGTAATGTGTTAACTCAATAGTTATGTGCAAGGATACATACTGATTTTCCCACAGTCGTATAAAATCATAAGATTCACACTGGAAGCCATAAGACATTTCAGCTATAATGCAAATTTGTTTCTCAAAAATTTCGTGCCTAGTTTATTCTTGTCCAACAGGTTTCTTTCAATCTCTAAATCCTATCAAAGCATGTATCCAGAATCTAGATCTATAGTTCAACATGCCAACATCCCCATACATTTTCAGCATGCCCACACTATTAAGGGACTGTTTGAATGTGTAAATATATGAGCACATGATATCTGCAGAAATACAGATACATATGCGCATTGCACATTTATTAGTAAATCTAAATGCTAAAAGTTAACATGCATGTGATGTTTATGTTCCATCCACAGTCATTTGAAATATCCATAAAACAGTTCAAGCCAATGTGTGGATAGAATAGCCTAAACATGTCCTGCCGATGTCCAACTAGTTTACTATTTTCTAATACAAATATTGTGGGAAAAACGTAGAGGGTTATTATTATATATCCATATCAATATCTATTGATATATTATGCAAGGCAGTGAGTTGAGCTTCTGCGACACCTAAAGGAATAAACTATGAGAAAATCCAGAAAAAGTGCTTACTTTTGCGAGTAAAGTCTTCCCTGTTCCAGGCTCTCCATATAATATAACTCCTTTTGGTGGTTTAATTCCAATATCTTCATAGAGCTCAGGATGGGTTAACGGAAGTTCAACTGCTTCTTTGATTTCCTGAATTTGAGCATCCAGTCCACCAATATCAGCATATGACTCTAAAGGAGCTTTTTCAACTTTCATAACTGAAACCATAGGATCCACATCATCTTGAAGAAGGCCTACAACTGAAAGGACCTGCAGAAATACACAAGGTAAATAACCATACTCTGCTAATGAACCTCAAGAAAATGTATGTGTGTACAAGCAGAATACAAGTTATGAAAGAATTGATCGATTTTATAACGAATGATATTAAAGTGGTTGACTTCTAGTTTCAATTGTATTTGAAAAGGTTAGCACGCAATGAGACATTTCAAAGGATTGATCTATAGCTGTGTTTCGCAACTCCAAGATAAACCTTGACTGGTTTTTTCTTAAACAGGTCAGAGTTGGTCCATGTCGGATTGGTCTGAAACAGGACTAGTCTAAGGCTATAATTTGATCTAGAAAAAAAAATTCAACTGGGGCACAATATTTGCCAAACTAAAACTAGGTTTTGGACCCAGGTTGTATCAACTAAAACAAGTTTCATGGAGTTACCAAACACACCTCATGTTTCTTCATTGGATAAAACTTCATCTAGGATAAATTCCTGGATGTCCTCTTAACTGTCTAGTATATCATAGAATTATAGGTAAAAATGCCTAAATAGCACACCCCAAAGTTCCACTATTGCTCAATACACACCACAATTTTTTATTAACAAGCACAAAACCATCCAGTAAAACCCTAAGACCACCTCATGATAAATAAAAAAAGAACTTGTTAGTGCAAGAAGGCTAGCTACAAGTTCAGCAATCTGTTCACAACCATAATTCAGCAATCAGAACGGGAATCTAAGAAACTAACGCCCTAAATTTGGACACAAATAACCACAGATGCCTAACTTTGTATAATCAAACACAGTTCCACTATTGCTCCATTAGTTTTAATTAGACCAACCTGCTTCAAAGCCCTAACTTTGCAATATGAGAGAGAAACTAGTATCCCAAGTTCTGCTACTGTGCAATATGCGCCCCAATTATACCGTCCAGCATCCGATCATCCATTGGAAGCCTAAAACCCACCCATAAACCACATAAAATCTTGTTCCATCGAAAAACCATAGATATAACTCCCTGAATCATTTCAAAACCCTGTTTCGGCAATCAGGACAAACTTACAGAGAATTATCAACTTTGAACAGCAAAAAACCCTCATTTTGCAAAGAGAAACTAGTACCCCCAAGTTCAACTACTATTCAATTTCAATATACAGCCCAATTTTCAGTTTCCAACCATTAGATCCTCAAACGTAAAACCCACCAAAAATCAAACAAATTTCTGTTCTCTGAAAATAAAAAGTAGCTACATCTTCTAAAAGCGTCCGTATCCTTAATTCAGAATCAAGACAATAACACCCTAAATTTGCACAAAACTCGCGATAACCCCTACTTCCATGTAAACAAACACAGTTCCTTTATTGCTCAATGAATTTTAGTTCAAGCAAACTGCTTGCCAGAGAGAAACAAGCACCCAAGTCCTAATATTGCTCAACATATGCCCCATTAACATTAGACCATCAATTGGGACCCTAAAATCCCCCAATAAATCAAACAAATTCCTATTCTCTAGACTAAAAAATCCGACAATCTGTTTAAATCCGTGATTTTAGCAAAGGGCAAGTATCTTCATAAACAAACGCCCAAATCTCGCTATAACTCACCACAAAACCCTACTTTCGTGGAACCAAGCATAGTAGAACAAAAAAAAAAAAAAACTAGATCTGAAATCGAAACCCTAATTCCTCACCTTGTTATGCATCAGAATCGCGCATCCAGGCTCCAGCTGATCCTTATCCACAAACGAAAGGATACTAACATAATACTCAGGCCCCACCGACGACGAAACAATCGCGTGATTCTCATCGATCAACTCCTCCAGATTCCCAACGCTCATCGGCGACCCTCGCAGATCATCGACCTTCGACCGATCCTCCTCCGATTTCTCCTCGTGAGGTTTCAACCTCTCTTGATTCGCGACGAACTCCTCCTCCATCAAGAGATAGTCCTTGATCCGCTCGAGTTTGAGGAGGCGGAGCTTGCACTTGGTGACCGGAGTGACGACGGGGAGCCTTGCGGCG